CTCTTGTCCCATACATGCTGCGATCATCTAATTACGGAGCGCTTCCTCTCAAACGAGAAGGCCCCGAATATCTACCTAATTTTTTTTTTCTCAATTTATAATCGTAATAACTGGCTAAACTTTTTCACGCTCAAGCACACGCGCATTCTCTCGTCTCGTCTCGTCTCCCTTCCTTTCTTCTTCCTTCCCTCCTTCGCCTCTATCCCCTACCCTTATCTCTCTCTCTCTCTCCCTCTTTTCTTCGTGCCTTCCCTTCCTTCTTTCCTTGCTCTCCCGTGTTAGAAAAATGTACAGACTGAATTCGAAAAACGAAAAAAAAAAAAAAGAAAGAGCACACGTGCTCTCTAAGCGATTGAAATGAAATAATGCATGAAATCATCGCGTCTCGCCTGTCGCGACGCACTGGCAACGCAAATTTTCCCCAATCCTTCTCTTCACTCCACGCTGCTTCTCGTTATCTTTCCCTTTTACGATCGAACCATGTATCGAACTGTCCGAAACGGAGAAATCCAATATTTAACAATTGACCAAACGGAAAAAATTCGCCCACGCAACAAACGACATCCTCACCTTTTTTCCTTCGGCTTTCTTCTCGCGGTTTTTCACTTTTTTTCTCTTTTTTTTTGTATCTTGGATGGATTCCGTTCCTTATTGGCTTAAACAACACGAACTCCTTTGAACACGTTTAAACACGAATCTTCGTTCAACGTCATCCCTCCCTTTTTTTGTCCCATTGTTTAGTTTTTCTCTAACTCTTATTACACGTATCGATTAATAATATCGTTTTAAGATTATAGAATTCTCTCATTTCGTCCCCTCCCCCACCCTCCTAACCGATCCCCCATTTTTATTGTTTCAACACGGTGTGCTAGTAGCTCGACAATCCACCTCTCGGAAAAAATATCTCTGAACGGTCGCGTTTCCTCTCTCCTCCCTCTGACAGCTTTTCATGCATTACTTGATTCCAACGTCGCGCGCAAATTCCCATTCTCCTTTTTCGTTGAAGACAATCGAACGTCGTCGAAACATCGTGATTTGTATACGGTGGCACGCGTGCCGCTTGAAAAGACCGTGCCACGAGATTTCGCACGGTCTCGCAATGAACACATAAATTGGCCAACGAAGTCTCGAAGGAAGAATCTTTCTCCTTGCAGAATTCCCGGTTAAACACGCGACAAGTAGCAAAGATCGGCAATGATTCGAAAGGGGAGACAAAAGAAGGGTTGTTCTCGAGAAAGGAAAAAAAAAAAAAAGACAAAGAAAATCGTCCATTCGAGGCTGTTCACGCGTCGTCATTACCATATAAAAACGTGAACTCTGCTTTATCGGGGTGTGTTTTCGAGTTTTTCTTTGTGCGAGGGGCCAGCAAAACCCTAAAAACGTTTCTTCTCTTTTTCTTCTTCTTATTCTTTGTGCGCCTCTAAACGTCCAATCATCGTCGGAACGACCAAACAGGTGCCTAGCGTACAAGTAATATCTTTGGTATCGTGCCTGAGTCTTCGTCGTTCGCGAAAAAGATCACTAAGGGAGTTTTTATCTCTTTTTCCTTCATTTTTAGTAGAACCTTACCGGATAAAACGCGAACTCGTACCTGTTTCTTTTTTTTTTTTTTTTTTTTTTTTTTTTTTCTTTTCGTTAGTGTAATCGTATCAAACTTAGAAAACGTCCATTCTACTCCGACCCAACGTGAGAAAACAAGCCGCTAAAAATACGCTAGCTACGCCGGAGGTACAATTAGATATTTTGCAACGACGAGAAGTGTTGTCGGGTCGATTATACATGGCAGCTTCGAAACGCGCGGACATTCGCGCTTTGCGTCTATAATACGCCTGTGTTGGTATATTTATGCAGTGTAACATGTCTGTGTGTGTGTGTGTGTGTGTAAATCGAGTCCCCTTTTTCTTGTTCTTGCGTCAAGCTCTTGTCGTTTCACGCGCAGGATGCTGGCCTCGCGTCCCGTGTATCCTCTCCTCTCGAGACTTTAACAGCTCTTTTTTCCACCGCGCGTAATTTCCTTCGACGCGTGTGAAAGACAGTCCCTTTTACGGTGAACGGACCACAGACGTTCCCGTTTGAAATTTCTCTCCAAGGGAGAGGGAAAGGATCGGTTGGAGAACGGTGTGGTGCATCGACTGCTCGTGAAACGAGATCAACTGATCGTGTGAGAAACGCGATGAACATTTGTACTGTCGACAAAAGGAAACCGTGTTCGTCGATGTCGACCTAACGATACTCTAAGATAGATGAACGAATGGTGGTGCCCGCCCATTTCGGGATTCTTTTCAGTCTTGCCGTTTAAAGGAGGTGTACGTGTGTGTGCATGTACGCGTGTCTGGGCGGGCGGTCGTTCGGTCGATCGGTAAGAAGAAAACGCCGCGACAAACGTGCGAGTCTTCACCGTTGCCCGTGTGTGTATTCTCGGTGTGATCGTGTGCGTGTTGAACAAGAACGAAGAAAGAAAAAAAAACAAAAACAAAAAATGAACGAAAGCGGCGTGACACCCTCGCTCGATTGTTCACAGAATTTCGCAAGAGACGAAGCTACTTGACGAACGATCACCAGAGAAAAAAAGGTAGAAAAGTATGTGGGAAAAAGCAAAACGAACGAGATAAGAAGAAATATTAGATCGATTTTGCAATAAAGCGACGGCGCAGGCTCCTCTGAAAGCGCACAGCGATGAATTCTTGTGAACAAAGGATCGTCGGAGTTCATCGCCGCGTCCCATCGTCCGTCTATTCGTCTGAATTTCGTCCAAGAGAGTCCTGCCTCTCCCGACCACTGTTCTCTTTCTCTCGCTTTCTCTCAACGCCTAGAAAAAACACCTCGTCATATAGTATATATATCACATACGCGTTACTTCTAAACACACTGAAATAAGAAGCACTTTAAGATAGATGTCTACATGTACCATCGGCCCAGATTCTAGATGGACTGATTCTAGGTTATCTCCCATTTACTTCCCATCTGCCGCCTCATAGAACTCTTAAACTCCTTCGTATATTGTTATTATTCTCTTTCCTCTTTGTATATATGTGTATTATTTACATACAAGCCCTCTCTCGTTCTTTCTCCCCATCACAAGCTCTCCCTCTCTTTCTCTCTCCTTCTTACTTCTTTATATCTTCTCACTGGACACTACTCACACACTCCTCTTGTTCTCTCTCTCTCTCTCTCTCTCTCTCTCTCTCTCTCTATTACGTATATGTGCAGGTGGTGAAACGCGTGTTTCCGAAAGATACGAGAAAATTAAGAATCGGCCGCGGGATAACATTCGGCGGTAATTCCGTTTTTCGCCGAGCTACGTGACAGCCAAAGAGAGTGTCTGGCTGATTAACCAAGCCATCGTAAAGGCGACGTGGCGATCTCCGCGATTTCACGGCAAACGATCGTGTTTTATGGCACTGTGCCGCGATCAACCGAGTCCAATGGTTTGTCCCGTCTTCCTCCTTTCTCTCTTCCTATTCCGTTCGCTCGTTTTTCTTCAACGACCGAATCTAACGTGCCTCTTCGCGACGAGGTGACACGCGAGGAAAGCGGTCGCCCCTTTTCGGAATATTCGAGGCACACGCAGTAGTATTACGCGAACAATAATGGCACTGTCAATCACTCGCGTTAAATATTACAAGATTAGAAAAATCGCAAGTCGAGTCCGACAACAGTCTCTTTTAATTGACTTCACGAGAAGAAACCTTTGCCGTAATACTACGCGCGGTTACGGGATGGGACCGATCGATGGAAATCGCCGGAGATCGCGACGGGGAAAACCGCGTCGATCCACGCACCATCATCTCGCGCCGATCTAGCCTCATCGCCGAGCTCGAAGGATTCTTCTTTGGATAATCACCGAACCAAGAGCCACGGAAAAACACCACCACCGCGATGTTGAAGTTTGCTCGGCAATTCTAATAGACTGGAGCGTATTTCGACGGCAATTCAGAAAGGCAACCGAGGATGATGATCGATTGGTGGATACGAGAAGAAAAAAAGAACAGAACAGAAGAGAGAAGGAAAGAGAAGAAAAGAAAAGAAAAGAACGCAAAGGAAGGGGGAAAGAAAATTGGGAAAAGTGGGAAAGTAAGCTTGTAGAGGTGAGGGAGACCTATACGTCAGGTGGAACACGCTCCCGGCTACACACCGTAGGCCTCCCTGACCTATATATCAGGTGGAACACGCTCCCGGCTACACACTATACAGGATCGGAACGCGCAGCGGGACAATAGAACGGTGTCCCAGCTGCTGGCGTGGCGTAACAAGAAGCAGAGTACGACGGCGGCGGTGAGGAGGCCGACGCCGACGTCGACGACGACGACTATGACCGATAGATGAAGCTGCAGGGCGGCGTCGGCGGCGGTGGCGAGCCGCCGGTCATGGCGATCGGTACGAGGGTGGGCGAGGGTGACGAGGAGGGAGGTGATGGGGAACTGGACGAAACGCTCGAGGGTGGCGAGGGCGACTCGAGCGTCCTCGGGCCCGCGAGCTCGCGGTTCGACTGTCCCCCGGACGTCACAGCGCGACTACTCCTGGCCGCTGTGGTCGCGTTGTGCCGATTGCGTGCTGGCCGTCCTAAGCTCCGGTGACGGCCGCCTCCCTCCTCGCTCGTTTCTCAGAGATAAACCTTCTTCACGCTCCGGGTGGTCGCGAACCCGTCGTTGCGCCGATACGCGTCGCCCTGGTGCGAGCGCAGGGTACCGAAGTTGTCCCTCGGACCGCGGAAACCGTAACCGTCCGGGAATTGGAACAGCGTTTCCGTCGGCGTTGGCGGAGGTTTCCGCATCGTTCCTTTCGGCGAGTGCAACTTCGGGGGCTGTGGAACCAGCACCGGTTCCGCGTACGTTACCTCCTCCTGGGGCAGCAGCTTCGGCTCCGGCGCTAGCCTGCTGCAAGTTTCAAACAAAGTTCCCGTCAAACGGTACGCGACGCAGCTACCGGTAGGATCGAGGACTCTCACCTGTTCACGTTCTGACGCTGCTCGAAGTACTCGTACTCCGTGTCAGGGTACGGCAGGTTGTCGTCCTCGTCTTTCCTGCACTTTCTGCCGCACAGATAGCCCGCCACGAAACCGACCATCAGAGCCGCTACCGCACCAGCTACCACAGCCATCACCAGAGTCTCCACGGAGTACTGCGGTGGCGGAGAGTCTGCCGCAGATACTTCTGGACCTGCACCAAAAGTCCCGTCGTTTCAGAACCGAAGCAACCTTCGCGGAAATACGCTACGCTACCTGAATTATCCTGCTCCTCGTCCTGCATGATATTGATGATCTCTCCCCCTTGGCCTTCTTTATTGGGGATCATCGAGTCCTGCGGGAATTTATTCTGGTTCGCGGAGATCGCTCCGACGCTGCCCGCGTCCTTGTTCAAGCTTTTACTCGGCGGACAAGAGGCGTGCAGGCCTGTCGCGACGCTCTGCAGGAATCTGCTCGCGTCCGTGGACGCCGGACCCACCAAGGCTCTGCATTTGCCCTCCACTTTGTCCCAGGCGCAATAAGGATCCTGCAGAGCGACGCATTCCCCGCACGACAAGATCCTATCGCTGTAGCAGCGGTGCAGCCTCAAGGCCTGGACTTGGCTGTCGGCGATCACGACCAGCCGACCGTCCTCGAGGCCATCGCCGGCCTGAGAAGCTCTGACCACTTTGATGCCGCGAACTGGCACCGAGGACGGGAACGCCTGGATCTCCTCGATCACCACCGGGCTCACCTTCAGGTGAGTGTCCGCGGACTCTGCGTTCACCGCCTTGATCACCTTGCCGTTGTCCGTGCCGATGAACAACACGTCGTACGTCTTGCCGCCGGGCGTCTTCACTTGGGGATCCACGGCGATCTGCGTGAATCTGTAACTGTGTGGTATTTCCACAATTTCACTCCTATCTCTCTTCTCTCAATTCCCCAAATCGTACATAGAAATAACAAGGGACCTGACAGAGGAGAACCGAAGCGGTGGGAATTATGTCTAGTTTTCGAGGACAAACGGTTCGGCGGAATGTTTGAATAGGAAGAGGATCGGGGGGAGGAGGGCGGATACGAGTGTGACGAGAAAGGATTAAGCTAGATGTCCCTCCTCGCGGGACACATTTCATCACTGTGTAAAGAGAGATTGGGCGAAAGTTGGGTTAAGAAGATAGCAGAGCGCGAGTGGACAAGCTTCGTACACCAGACAGCACACGTAGAATTCTGAAAGGATTACACCACGTGAATGTGAAACTTACTGAAAACTGGTGCGAATCACGATGGGCTGGCCGAAGAAACTCGGCACGAGCTCGTCCATGAGGGAGTGCGTGTGGATGAAATTCAGGGTTAGATCGGGCAGCGATCTAGAATCGTTCACGCACTGTCCAGGCCTCGGGTCGGGGACCTTGGTGCTCTGCACCGGTAGCCAGTTCGAGTTGATGGCGCTCTGCTCCTTGAAGTTGCCCTTGAACGTGTCGGTGATGTCCTGCAAGGAGAAGGCGCAGACGGCCGAGCCGCTGATGCTGTTCACAGGAGTGGTGAACGTGCCGTATATCAGCTGGGCCGACTTATTGCCGTACTGACCCGATATCAGTTCCGTCGTTGATTCTGCAAATAACGCTTGACCGGTGATTTCCTGCCCCCTTACGAGCGTAGCCGACGGAAAATTGATCTCCGCCGACCTCTCTCGAACGTGCAGGCCGCGCCGTTTAAAATCAATGACGCCGCTGCGGCTGTGATCTCTAATAGGAAGCTGGCTGCCTCGATGTTCGACGGTAGCGCTCGTTCGAGAGTAAGACGGACGAGGATCGATCGGCGTTGGGATACTCACGTATTTCATTGAAGTAAAAAGGAAAGTCTCCGGTGACGGAGCAATTAAGACGGGACTTTAGGAACGAGGTCCACCTATTGCGATACCGATGCGGACCACCTCGATCGTATTTACAGACTCTCGCCACGCGAGAGTAGACGGTCTGCAAGAAGGGAGAAGAGCGAACGTAGAAACGGGGGTTGTTCGTTACGCGATCGAGCCAACTGATGATAAAACCGCGCGTGTACGGCTGCGTCGATGCGACCCTGTCCCCTTCGTGCTCGATAACGATTCGAGGACGTGCTCACCCTGTGGTCGCAGATTTTCCGCGTTGCACTCGGTATTTTATCCAGATGGCTCGTTTATTCGAACCGATCGTTTTCGACAATGGATCGACCACGCGATTAAGCTACTCACCTTGCCGCAATTGATATACTCCACAGCGGTTTCCCGGAAGAAGAAATAGACGAAGTCTCCCTGGGCCATGGAGCTGACGAAATTCGGCGCTAAAATTAGAAGGCGTGCATGTATTACAAGGATATCAACTAACCGCACCGCCGTTGGTAAACAGAGGCCGGAAACTGGTTGTACAGGCGAAGGAGCGTGGCGATAACTGGCCGGTGAAGTTGGTGTGCCTAGAATGGACGAGCTGGCAATAAAATGCGCAGATAACGGTTTCTGCTCGCTGGAGGAATAAAGATGCATCCGTTAGTGGAACGCTTTGGAAAAATGGCCGGGAAGCTGCTCTCGACGAGAGGCACGATCGAGAGGATAATCCGGCGTTGTTTCAGGGTGGAGGCATCGATTCCTCGTTAAAAAATCATTACCCGCATCAGAATGGTCTGGCGCAGCCAGATTGCCAACGATCGTCGAAGGGGCAGGTCGTAAAAATCAATTTTACTCGGGGAGTAGTGGAGGTGACATCTTCCAGGCCGCGCGACGGCAATAATCCGACCACGAATACCTAAGAACCCTTTTATTTAGCTGGTTATTCGAGCGGTGTCGCGGTGAAACGACGCGTTTCTCTTCTTCCTCTCTCCTCTTTCGCCTGCCGCACACAAGCGCTCCGATAAAGTGGGAAAACTTTATCGATTTATTAACTTGACAGGGTTTTCATAAGCTTCTTAGGATTCATAAAGTAATATTAATCTCGCGCGCCACGTAGGTATATCCGAGCAACCCGCCGCGCCCCGGCCCATAAATTTTCTGTCATTTTCTCTCTCTCCTCTTCTTTCTTTCCTGTGTTTCTTTTTCGGCGCGTTTAACCGCGTCGTCATCGAGACAAAGTGTCGGGCAAATTTTCCCCATCGACGAGTGGAAGGAACAGAGAGGTCTTCTCTGAACGACCGACTGGCTGTAAAACTTTTCGGTTTTCCCTGCCACGCCGCGCCACGGAAATTTTCGAACGATGATG